ATGTACACAAGCCAAATAACCAGAGGTTATTTGACTGCTGTGAAAGACTGAGGTACTGGGGGTGCCAAACATGCATGAAGTTTGGAAAGCTACGTGAGGAAACAAAAGTCAGATGCCCACACCACAAATTGGATGACTTGTTTATATGAAATGTCTGCGACAGTTAAACTCAACAACACATGGGGGGGGGGGCTAGGGGGAGGGTATGCTACTGCTAAATTAGGAGTGCCTAATTTCTTTTTTGGAATGATAGAAATGTTCTGGAAGTAGACAGTTGTGGTATTTGCATGGCTCTGTGAATATACTTTAACAAAAAAACACCCAACTGCTGGGCACTGGTGGCTCATGCCTGTAATCCTAGCTATTCAGTAGGCTGAGATCTAAGTACTGCAGTTCAAAGCCAGCCTAGAAAGGAAAGTCCATGAGCCTCCAATTAACCACCAAAAACCCAGAAAGTGGCTCAAATAGTAGTGCTAGCCTTGAGTGAAAAAGCTCAGGGACAGTGCACAGGCCCAAGTTCAAGCCCCATGACTACCACCACCAACAACAAAAAACACCTAACTGTACATTCTCAGTAGGTGAATTTTATTTTGTTTTTGTTTTTGTTTTTTTGGTCAGTTGTGGGTCTTGAACTCTGGGCCTGGGTGCTGTCCCTCAGCTCTTCAGCTCAAGGCCAGCACTCTACCACTTGAGCCACAGCATCACTTCCGGTTTTCTGGTGGTTAATTGGAGATAAGAGTCTCATGGACTTTCCTGCCCGGGCTGGCTTTGAACCCTGATCCTCAGATCTCAGCCTCCTGAGTAGCTAGGATTACAGGCGTTAGCCACCGGCGCCCATTTCAGTAGGTCAATTTTATAACAACGATGTTTCAATGAAGTTTTTTTGTTTTTTTTTTAAGCAACATCCTGAAGCAATAGTAAGTAACTGGAATCACTGACCAGGGCTGGGGTTCAGAGGTAGTGCTCCTGCCTGGATGCACAAGGCCCTTAGTAAACAGTAAGGATGCCATCTCTACTTTTTATTTTTTGTTTGAACTATGGGCCTCCTGCTCTTGCTTGGCTTTCTCTCACTCAAGGCTAGTGTTCGAACACTTGAGCCACAGCTCCACTTTCAGCTTTTTGTTGGTTAACTGGAATCTCTCAGATTTATCTGCCAGGGTTGGCTTCTTCCCCTGGAGATCCCCAGACCTCAGCCTCCAGAGTAGCCAGGATTGCAGGCATGCGCCATCTCACGCCTACATGGCAAGAAGCCATCTCTTAGCACTTGTTAATGTGCCACGTAGTAATGTGTGCAAAACTGCAAAGTTTCAGAGAGGTGGCAGTCGGTGTTCTAGCCAAGATGCATTCAGCCCAGCCTCAGGCAGGGCCCAACATCCTACAGCTGGAATGAGTCAGGGGCGCTTGTTGGCAACAGAAACCTAGCCTGATGTTGGGGCCTATGTGGCCCAAACTACACTGGAAGACAATGGAGGGGCGGGTGATCCTTGGGACTTAAGACCCCAAGCAGGGCTGAGTGCAAAGGCCGCAATGTCTCTAGACCACGCACCTCTGTCTCATTGGCTTCAGGACGACCCACGGGAGGGGGCGCAGGGACCCCGTCCCATCCCACTCCGACTTTACTCCAGTTTCCCGGCCTCGGGAGGCTCGGAGCCTCTGCTCACGTCCTCCTTTCCACACGAAGGGAACAGTGCTGGCCGGGTCCAGGCCTGGACTACTAACCAGCAGCGGCTCCGACCCGCCCGGCCGCGGAGATGCTGGGAGCCCGCCGGAAGGGCCATCGGGCGGCGGCCTCTCCCCGGCCCGGGGCCAGTTCACACTATGTCACGGAGCTCGGCCCGAGAGGCCATTGCGGGGGTCTGGGGACCCCGGCGTCCCTGCCGCGAGGGCTGGGGACCGGGCCTGCAGGCGAGGCCCGGCGGGAGGGGCCGGCGGCGCGGTACCTGGAGTCGAACTTGCGGTCGTCGGGGAATGTGCCCACGTAGTGGTAGCGCACGAAGTCGCCGCTGCGCACGGCGCGCGGGCAGTCGGCGGGCACGAAGCGCCGCTCGATCTGCAGCTCCGGGTCGACGCCAAGGCCCGCCACGGGCGCCGCCTGTCCGGTCACCCAGAGGAGCAGCAAGAGCGGCGGCGGCGGCAGGGACCGCCAGCCCCGGGCCCGGGACGCCATCGGGCGGTGGGCGAGGAGCGGGGGCGCGCGGAGCTAGGGCGGCGGATGCGCGGCGCGTCTGCAAACGTGGAACGGTCCCTGGTCCCTCCCGGCGTTGGCCACGGACCCCTCCCCCCCCCGCCCGCCCCCAGCCCGCGCCCAGCCCGCCAGGACCCGCCCGGTCCAGCAGGGCCCCGCCCCATCCTGCGAGGCCACGTCCCACCCGGCAGGGCCACACCCCGTCCTTCAGGACCCCGCCCCTCCTCGCTGGGACCCGCGCTTTGCCCAGCGCCAGAGCTCTGAGCCCCGCCCCGTCCCACAGAACCCGCCTCACAGCACCTCCCCCAAGGCCCCGCCCCATCCCATCAGGCCCCGCCCATAGGCTCCTCTTCTACAGGCCCCGCCCCAACCGCTCCGCCCCTCCGGGGGCGGCAGCTTGAGAAGGAATCTCGGATCCTCGGGGGACTTGGAGACCTGGACATTTCCACGCCTGACGCTGGCCGGCGGGCCGGAGGGGGTGGCGGAAGGGAAGCGGGCCGGAGAGGGGTAGGGGGGGAATTTCCGCCTGTCCCCAGAAGACTGCACATTGCTCCCCACGTGCTGCAACTTCGCCGCCGCCGCCGCCGCCCGGGAGCCACTCACCCCCTCTGCTCCACCGGAGGAACACAGGGCCCAGCCACGAGGAATCCAGTGGAGTCGGTAGTTGCTCTCTTGGTTTAGAAACGTATTACAGTTGGAATCTTAGAAGCTAAAGATTAAAATTGGAAGCATAAATCACAGCAGTTTTTTCTCAACTTATTTTAGAAACTAGTTGCCGAATAATCCAGACACCAAAACCTGGCAAAGATAGAATAAAGAGAATATAAAAAGACACACACACCACACGAACCCTTGACAATCTTTTAAATTTATGAATGTAAAATTGCTGACTGAAATGTGAGCAAATTGAACTTAGCAGTATAATCAGGGTCACCACCAATACATGGGCTAATCTGGATGACTTCAAACTGATGAAAGTTTCAGTTGCAACTGTAAGATGAGGATAAAATGATGGTTACAAAAGTATTATAGATCTAATTACTGGATTCCAGGGATCAAACCAGAAACTACAAGTAGCTCACAGGAAATGTTCTTGTTCCCATTAGGATTTACTCTAATAATAGGAGAATTACTTACAAACCGGAGAAGAAAGAGATCAGAGAAGTTCATGGCAACTTATAACCTCATGCTTAAACCAAGAAGAAAAACACCCCACACTTCTTTCCTATATGCTGAAGAGCAAGACCATAGCAAAGTCTGCTTTTATAAACAGACAATCCAAGAAGCACCAAAAATTATCTTTTATGACCAGGCATAGTGACAAGAGTCTGAAGGGAGTCACTTGAGCCCAGCAAATAAGAAATGAAGTGAATCTATGTATTATAGCCATATGATTTTCAATGAAGGCAGCAAGACCATACTTTGAATAAAGGACAGTTTCTTCAATAAATGGTTCTGGAAAACTGGACAAAGAAACTAACAGTTCTGAATCCTGCTTTCAATGATAAGCCTAATGATGCTTATTACTCAACTGTCTGAGTCTCCTTATCTATAAACAAAGGATACTACTATGGATTAGGATTTTCTGCTGTTTGAAGCTAGGCACAGCTTGTCTGCTCATCCCTTCTAGCTCTGCAGTGGGCCCAGACTGCTAGGCTTGCAGACCTTTGGCTAGAACTTTACTCAGAAGCATCTTGGCTGAAGTCATTGAAGCTGGCTCACTATAGTGTGACTCTGTAAATGGATCTAAGTCTAGGGAATTTATACCCTGGACTGAGCTCCTATTGGTCACCCCTATGCAATGAGAAGACCTGCTAAATCACTGCCAAAATGAGACTTGAGTTATCATAGACTGGGTTTGTCTACTGTATTCCAAGCCACCCAATGAAGATTGGGAAGAACTGGGAGGGATGGAGAAACGGTGAAGCATTCTCTTTAGGGGTGGGATTTTTGAATCATGCATTTTCCCTAGTTTAGTCTCAGCTTGCCAAATCAGAATGCTTTCAACTTAGAGATGTTCCCCAGGAGTCCTGGGCCCGAATTAATCTACTTAACCAAATCTATCCTTTCACAATCTGCTTTTGAGTGTTTAATATTTAAATGAGTTCCCCAGAAGATGTAAGCTAGTGGTAGAGCCCTGGCCGAACATGTGTGGTGCCCCTGGTTCCATCCCTAGCATCACAAAAAATAAAAAAGTTTAAAATAAAATCTTTACGTTTATATTTTATTTTATTTTGCCTGTCCTGGAGCTTGAACTCTGGGTCTGGGCCTTGGCTTTGAGCTCCTTTTTGCTGAGGCTAGCACTCTAACGTTTGAGCCACAGGGCCACTTCCAGTGTTTTGGTGGTTAACAGGAGATGAATCTCAGACTTTCCTGTTGGGATCCTCAGATCTCAGCCTCCTGCGTAGCTAGGATTACAGGCGTGAGACACCGACGCCCAGCTATATAACATCTTGTTAAGGGATTAGCTTGCTGCTAGCATCCAAACCTCGTTAATATGTGATGGTTTTAATCGCGGATGGAAGGCTGGAAAAGGGGAGGATTTGTATGAAAACACTGGTGTTCTCTCCAGGAGGAAACTGAACCTACTAACCAAGACTACCTAACCGCGACTGCTGGAGTGGAGGGGCGTGGCCTGCGGGCCCGGACGCTCCCGGAAGTCCTCTCAAGCTCCGCCCCGAATTAGAAGCCCAACCTGGCTTGGGGCGGGCGTGGCCTGCGGCCCTGACGCTCCCGGAAGTCCTCTCTCTCTCCGGCCGCGCCCCTCCCCTCCTCAGGACGCCGCCAGGGGGCGCCCGCAGACCTGGCTCCGGGGAGCGGGGCTCAGCGCTCGGACTCGGGGACCCTCGGCGGGAAGGCGGGGTCGGGGAGGAGGAAGTGCCCGGAGCCGTCCCCGGAGCCCCGCGGGCCGCGATGTCGTCCCAGCGGCGGCGCGACGACGCAGGGTCGGAGGCGCGGGCGGGGGGCGCGCGGCGGCAGCGGGAGCCGGCGGAGCAGGAGCTGCAGCGGCGCCGGGAGCTGAAACGGCGGCGCCGGGACGCGCAGCAGCTGCAGCAGCTGCAGCACCTGGAGTCCTTGTGAGTCAGCGGGGCGCGGGTGGGCCGGGGCAGGGGTGGGGCGGGGCAGGCGGGGCCGGGGTGTGCTGGGAAGATGGGCGTGGGGGGCGCAGGAGGGCGGGGATGGGGGTGGGAGGTAGTGATGAGGGCTGGGGCCGGGGAGGGATGTGCTGGCGGGGAGAGGTGGCAGTTGAGGGGCGGGAGGGTGTCGTGGGGGGTAGAGGTGGGAGTTGGGGCGGGGTAGGGATGTGGGGGGGTAGAGGTGGGAGTTGGGGCGGGGTAGGGATGTGGGGGGGAGAGGTGGGAGTTGGGGCGGGGTAGGGATGTGGGGGGGTAGAGGTGGGAGTTGGGGTGGCGAGGGAACGTGGAGGTGGGGGTGTTGGCTTGCGTGGGGGGGGTTGAGCGCGGGTCTCGCGCGCGGGTCCTCGGTCTCCCCGGGCCGTGGAGGAGCCGAGGCGGTTGGGCGGTCCCCTCGTTGGCAGGTGGCACAAGGACGCGGTGGGTCTGGGCTGGGGTCTGGGTCAGCTCAGGACTGTGGACGGAGGGGGATTGAGGGGTCGTGGGGTTCCCGCGTAGGGGACGAAAGTGACCCCGTCCTCGGGAGAAGAAACACAAAATGGACTTAGACTGAGAAGACAGAAACCGCCCAGGAGCCAGGGCTGGGGGCTGTGGCTCCTGAGAAGTAAAGGGGGTTGGGGGAAGGGAGAAAGAAGGGAGAAATGGGGCCATGGTCTCCCTCGGGGAAGAAAGTCCCTTGGGTCAGATAATTGGCTCCCGCAGCTCTCCTGGTGAAAAAGGATGCGAAGTTCTCCTTAGAAAATGGACCTGTCGGGGCTGGGAAGGTGGCTCAGTGGTAGAGCGCTTCCCTTGCACGCATGAGGCCCTGGGTTCGATTCCCCAGCACCACATAAGCAAAAAGGAAAAAAGCCAGAAGTGGCGCTGTGGCTCAAGTGGTAGAGCGCTAGCCTTGAGCTGAAGAGCTGAGGGACAGCATCCAGGCCCAGAGTTCAGGCCCCACCACCAGACTCAAAAAAAAAAAAAGATAATGGACCTCTCCTGTGCTTTAGGTTAGGTCCAAGGGTTAGTGAGGGCTGGTTCTCGATTTCTTTAATTTTTTTCTTTTTGTGCTAGTTCTTGGGCTCAGCTCAGGGTCTGGGCGCCATCCCTTAGTCCCCTCCCCCCCCCCTTCAAGGCTAGCACACTACCACTTGAGCCACATCTTCACGTCTGACTTTGCTGGTTAATTAATATGAGTCTCACAGACTTTCCTGCCCAGGCTGGCTTCAAATCGTTAAGTAGCTAGGATTACTGTGCTGGGTTTCTCAGTTTCTTTTAGCTACAAATAAAGTATCAGGGTGTCATATTTTGGTGTGGGGTATTGATAACCTCTTGCAGCTATCTAGCTCCCCCAATACAGGAATCAGGTGGGAATTAGATTGTCAGCCTTTGAGTTTTTGTGTGTGTATATAATGAATGTATAGTTAACCACAGAAGGCAAACTTTTCTGAGTTTACTGTTCCCTAAGTTATTCACCAATCTACTTTCTAGGCCTCATAGTTATTAAGTTATGCACAGAAGTCCTCAGAGTTAATCTGAGGAGACCTTTGATGGAAAAGTGCCTTCCTTCTTGGGCTGAGCCCACTCTTTATGTCTTACCACTATGTGCTTAAGGGCTCATGCCTGGGCCCAGCAATAGGTGCTCAGAGACCTTTTCATAGCCTGGCTCTGTCCAGCCTTTTGTATCTGCAAATGTAGGGGGCTGGAGGTATGGCTCAGTGCTATGGTGCTAGCCTGGGAAGGGTGAGGTCCTGAGTTCACAATCCTGAGTACCTCCAAAATGGAGCCCAACCCAGTATCTTGCAATGTCAGGTGCCAGGTGGTGGTTAATACTGTCAGAGGACCTAATAACTGCAGTTATTCCAAAGATCTGAACTGGTTTTGGGTTTGAGTGTAGAATTAATCAGCTCTTCTTCCAATAGTGTTAGGATATTTATGTAAAGGTAGACGAAAACAGTAGCCAGGAACAAAAAGTTTATTTCAAAGTTACTTTCCTTAAGGGGGGGTGTCATTAGCAGAACAATAGAAAAACATCTGATTAAGAGCATTTGCTTTCTGGTTAAGGCTCAGGAAACATTATTATTAAGCACATGAAAATCATCTGTGGGGAAACTTGGATGTCATTCTTCTCTCCTAGCTTCTTAGGTCAGGTGACAAGGTAGTTTAGGTTTGATGCTTTGGAACTTTATTATGGATGACTCCCATCTTGATTTTTTTTTTGAGGGGGGGGCCGGTCATGAGGCCTGAACTCTGGGCCTGGGCGCTGTCCCTCAGCTCTTCAGCTCAAGGCTAGCACTCTACCACTTGAGCCACAGCGCCACTTCCGGCTATTTTTTCTGCTTATGTGGTGCTGAGGAATTGAACCCAGGGCCTCAAGCATGCAAGGCAAGAGCTCTACCACTTCCCAGCCCCCATCTTAATTTTTCTTGGGTTGGTTGGAGCCTTGCCAGAGCCTAGCTCAGAATAATGTCCTGAACTATTTATGAACATATTTATTTTGTAGCTTGTAGACAGCAGAGACTTTATAAACTACTTTTGCTAATGAGCAAATTGGAGCGTCCATTTCCAGGCCATGTCTGTCTATAAACTAGTGAAACCTAGGTGTTTGACTAATTCCCAGGCCAGTGGCCTTTTCCAGTTTCACACAATTAAGACTGGCTAGGCTGCTGACATGTTTAGGGCTTTGTGTACCCTTAAATAAACTTCTAATCATTCCATGGTAATAATGTTTAATGTAGATTAAATATCCAGTGGTACAGAAAAGCTTGTTTCTCTTTCCTCCAAATGTAATTGAATGAATATGAATTAACGAGCAGGAATTTAAGAAACATACATGTAATAATTTCACATAACTGATTAACTCTTGCTGGTGCCCGAAATCAAGGTCTGGGACTCTTACTTGGCTTTCTTGTTCATTGCTAACACTCTACTATTTAAGCCACACCTCCAGCTCAGCTTTTTGAAAGTTATTTTGGAAATGGAGTCTCACAGACTTTCCTGCCTGAGTGGCTGGCTTTCAACTTTGATCCTTCAAATCTTAGCCTTCTGAGTAGTTTACATACAAGTGTGAGCCATGGGCACCCAACTTAGATTGATCTCCTAAGTCTTTCCATTGCGGGGCTTATAAGGAAATTAAGCAATGCATGAACATTATAGTTGAATGTCGAGGTAAGTGCATATGACATACTAAATCCTCCTCTCAGGCAGTCTTGGGGAACCGTGAAGAAATGTGTGTTCTGTATGTAGAAAATGTTAGAATTCAATAATCTATAAGACAGTGAGCAGTGGCATTCTGTTCTTGGGAGAGGACATTTAGAAATGGAGATTTCCTTTATGGACACAGATGGTCCTTCAGAGGAGATCCCTTTCATTATTTGTCAAAGTAATCCTTAGGCCTCCACAGTGTGCTGGGCAGTGCCCTGGCCTCCTGTACCTGGAACCTCAGGACACAGCACACAAGGATTTGTCCACCTGTCTTTTTTATCCTGTGGTCTCTGCCATTCAGTTGCATTACTTCACCCAAGTCCACTCACAAGGGTGCATAGGGAGGGAACTGGAGGTTTGTTCTGCATTTCTGTATGGAGGATTTGACTCCTCTGGCTTCCTGTACTTTCTCCACCTTACTACCATTCACATGTGTGGTCAGGGGCACAGAATATATGGAGGGTGTTACACATTCTGTTGTCAGATAGCTCTGGGTTCAGATGATTTCAAGGTAAATGTCTGAATCATGCATCTTTCCTGTAGCATTTAGAGTGCGGGCTAAGGGAGAGGAGTGAGAACAGCCTGGAAGGTGACCATCTCACAACTGCACTATACTAAACTCTGCTAAATCACTAGTGTTAATGTACCACATTGTTCAGGTTTGGGCCAGATAGCATTCTGGTAATTTCTTTGGCTTTCTAGGGTTGTCGTCCAAGTTTCTAGTAAGGTGCTCAGTTTCTCCATTTGCTTAATTCGCTTTTCCTTGCTGGTATCCCCCTCCTCTCCCCACCCCCAACAGTTGGGCTCCAGAAGCTTGAGGGTCCTTTCTCATGTCCCTCCACACCAGCTCTGTCAGTTCATTCTTCAGCCCAGCCTCTCCCATCTGCTCCGCAATGTACTATTTATTTACTAGATAATGATTTTTAGAAGAAAACACACATACACACACACACACAATTCAATGGACTTCTAATTTAGCTTTGAACCTCTGGTCTTAAGTGGGTCTCTGCCTCACCCTCCTGAGTAGCTGAGACTAAAGTTGTACACCATGTACCAGGCTGCTTGCCTCTGGGGGAAAAAAAAAGTCTTCCTCTAATTGTGCATGCACAGTTGTAAGATACACTTTTAAGGCAGTGCCATTACTAATAATAGAAGAATTGAAAACGTACAGTTCTTCACTCCCCTTTCCACCAGCGCAGAAACACTGACAGGCTTTCCAGGAATTTGGAACTGGGCTCCTTTGGCCATATGTTGTTTGTACAACTCATGTGGCAAAAATAGCGTATTGTTGGATTAGTGGGTATTTCCATAGTGTTCCCCTCCTCCAATGCCTCTGAGGCCCTGTGGGTAGCCCAGCACTGGTATTCCTGAGCGTTGGTATTTCCGATAAGAATAGCAATACAGAAATTTCGAATACAGAAATGCAGGCCCTGAGTCACTCCTGCAGCATTTTGAGGCTCCACACTTCCAATTTTCTGGAGTCCAGATACTGTGTCAGGGCAGCCTCAGTGCCCTAATGACAGGTCAGTTCCCAGGGGAGGCATTCCACGTCTGCCTCCTTTCTGCACTTTTCCTGACCTGCATTCATGACAAACAAGCAACCTCCCACGCTGTGTTTGGTTCACATGATTACATGTTGATGCTTAAAAAATGAGATTGAGCATCTGCTGCTGATTTTCAACACTTGGTGACCAGCAGCCTCTTCTGGCTGTTTCAGAAGTGGAAGATAGGCTCAAACCCTGGGAGACTCGGAGACTCACAGCTCATTGTAATTGAGGAAGAGGAGAAAAGGCTCCCCGTCCCTTTGTGTACCTTTGTGTACTGCATCTGGCACCAGTCAGCATGAGGGCACTCAGGATGGGGCGCCACGCAGGGCTGGTCAACACAGGTGTGAAGAGTGATGAGGGCTGAGGAGCACAGCAACTGGACAGAGGAGGGCTGGAGTCTGCTGCTCCTGCCCTGTGCTCCTCCAGCTGTATAGGAACATAGGGCACCTCCCCAGGAGCCTGGGCATTGTTGAGTACGTGGATGGCATGCTTGCAAATGGACATCATGCTTGCACATGGATGATGTCATGCTTTGCATGTTGACAGTGTGCTTGTGTGTGGATGTTGCTGTGCTTGCACATGGATGATGCCCTGCCTGTCAGTGACATCGCGTTTTCCTGTAAACCTGCTTGCAGGGCAGTTCTGGCGCCAAGCTAGCCAGGAATTTACAGTGTCACACTCAACCTACATTCACTCCCTTCTCCTTCTAGAAAACATCCAGAGTTCCAGGCAGTAAGTTATTATGTCACTTCTTCAGGATGTGGGATGCACCCGTTTATTCACTAAGATCCTGAAGGCAGATCCTGTTTTATTGCTGATGCAGACATAATCTAGCCTTAAGTTTTTGCTACAACTATTGCTGTGACCTTACAGCTAAGATGTGCTTTCATTAGCATTGCTGAAGTTTCACTTTTTTTTTTTATCTTCTAGTTATGAGAAACCTCCTCCTGGACTTATCAAGGTTAGTGTGGTATTAGTTACTGGCTACTCTATCTGTATTTCCTCCTCAATAACTAGGTAGGAGAAACGGTTGCCTCTTTTCTCTTTTTGTGGAAACCTATGTCCTTTCCCACAGGTGTCAGGTTCTTGTGTGGGGCTTTGTGTCTCTGAGGAATTGAATCAGCCAAGTATCCCTTCCCCAAGGAAGCAGTGCAGGCTCCCATGGGCTCCTCTGCCACGGTTCCCTCATGGTAGCATCTTTGCGAACTATGCCATGTTCCTTGTCTGCCTCACTCAGGCTGGGGTGTACCCCACCCTCGGTATACTTCAGAATAGTGTCTCAGTGCCCTCATAAAGCCCCTGAAGGGACCCTGCATAGCTCCCTGTCGGGCTGCTGCAGTAAGGGGAGCCATCAGAACATACAGGCTGTCTCTAGTGTTCCATGTAGCCTGGCTTGATTCAGTTCTTATGCCCGGCTCCTGCCTGGCACACATCTGGTGTGGTGAAACCTTTGATGGAGTCTTACTCCCATCAGAACATGGTGCTCACGGTCATCCTCCAGGAACAGCTGTCTTGACTTTCAGGTTCTTCTGTGAGGTCTCATTGTTTCTCCTGTCAGGTCACTGTTCTCCCCAGTTCCTGGAGTGATCAAGAATGGCCTTGAGCCCAACTGTGCAGGACAAGCAGGTGGTGGTGGGGTTCTGGACAGGAGAAGCAGAAGCCAGTGCTTTCCCTTGTTGCTTACATGTGCTTTCCTTCCCATAGGAAGACGAGACTAAGCCGGAAGACTGCATACCGGATGTCCCAGGAAATGAGCATGCCAGGGAGTTTCTGGCTCACGCGCCAACTAAAGGACTGTGGATGCCCCTGGGGAAAGAAGTCAAGGTTATGCAGTGTGAGTGTCTTGAAGACAGAGCTAAACACGCTAAAGATAAATTCACATCTACACTGGTTAGGGAACATTCACTTCTAAAGCTACAGGCTGGGTGGGGAAGCAGCTGGCTTGCCTGTTTTCTGGGATGTCACTTTCTTATGTCATCCACTGTTGGCCTCTGCATTTAGAACTGCATCATCTAGTCTCAGGAAGGAAAACTTCACTGTGAGAAACCGCATTGCCTTACAGAAATATCTCCCTTTTTCTTTGTTTTAGGTTGGCGTTGCAAACGGTATGGTCACCGAACAGGCGACAAAGAATGCCCTTTCTTTATCAAAGGCAACCAAAAGTTAGAGCAGTTCAGAGTAGTAAGTAAACCTGCAGTGTTGATTTACATTGATCATAGATTGTGGACAGCTGTGAGCCAGATTGTCATCAGCAAATGAGTTTTCACAGAAAGGCGTTCCCAGAAGCCTCTTGGCCCAAGCATGCCTTGATAACCACACAAATTAGCTCTCCCCTGCCACCCCTGCATGGAGGAATAAATCCAGGTCTTTGTACGTGCATGTCCATCAGCTCTCCACTGAGAGTAAATCTTCATTTCATCTTCAATAGGTTCATTTTTCAGAGTGATCATTCATTGTTCAGTAACTGCTCTGCCGAGAGGAATAAACTCAACCATCCAGCTTCTGAGAATTTACCACAGGGATTTAATAGGGCACCCACATAAACATCACTTTTACAGACACAATATTAACTATTATATGCTGATAAGTTTAATGAAAACTAAAGGCCAACATGCCCACCTAATAACTGTAATATACAGGTTATTTGGATATTAGGAATTGCTTTAGTAAATGTATAACCTGATGGGAAAATGCTTAGGAAAACAAGCATAAAACAAAGAGTTGTGTATGTATGTTAGGAGCTACTTTAATGATGGAACAATGCCTTTGCCTGACTGAAGAGGAGATACACACAGTAGGATCTGTACTCATGCCCCCACAGCAGGGCAAATCATGCTGACACCTCCCCCAGCAGGCACATGTACTTACATGTTTCCTGTGATAGGTGGCATGACATTTTCTGTGTGCTTGAGATGGATCATTCCTACACGGCATTGCATAGCCCATTTCTTCCACTGAGCACTGTTTCTTGGTCATCAGCCTATATAGGTCAACAAATATTACCTCAATCTTCTTAGCCTAAGTACTGTTTTATAGCAGGACTGGACCACTGTTCACTTATATTGCTCATTGCTGATGAAGAATGTTTCCTTATTTTGTTTTTCTATTCAGAAATTGTTTGTAGCCTTAATGGGTAATTGACTTTTTTTAGAAGATGAGAACATGTTAAGCATAAAGCTCTATGATACAATAAAAAGAAGCTGGTTTCAGTGATATAGGAGCTAATTTTTATAGTTCTAGAAGCTTAACCTTCTTCTCTCACCCTTAGGCACATGAAGACCCCATGTATGACATCATTCGGGAGAATAAAAGGCATGAGAAAGACGTGAGGTGAGGTCATCTGACCCTGAACAGCTTCCCATAGTCTTTGAGTTGGAAACCTCCATTCTAATCGTAAATAGTGCATAGTGGGAGGGCAGAAAGTACACCTGAACAGGCCTAAAGCAGGGGGTGAGGGGTAGCAGCAGGCCAGCCTCCTTCTGGTGTTTGCTTAAAAGCAAGAGAGGGGCTTGGTGCCCCAGCTGTGTGTGCAGGTGAGGAGGTGATGCATATGTGGATCTGCTTGTGGCGTGTAGTTAACTCTTGTGTGATTTAGTTTCTAACCCAGTATTTCTGAGGATCTGAGCTTTTCTTAAAATTTATTCTTAGACTTGATAATTTATGTATGGTGTAGTTCTAGAGATAAACAACCATGAAATTGAGCAGTAGGTAAGCTCAGTAAGGATGTGTTGGTTCAGTAATCTATCAGTTGGAAATGATAGATTGGAAACGTGCAGAAATGGACAGTGGAGTGTAGATGTCCTCTAGTGACACAGTCATTCCCAATTCTTCCCCCAAAGCTGCTTGATAAATTACCTATGTACAGAAAAGCACTGTCAGTGACAGATCACATCCCCCGACCTGTTCTGTGTTTAGGATACAGCAGTTAAAGCAGTTGCTGGAGGATTCCACCTCAGATGAGGATGGGAGCAGCTCCAGCTCCTCTGAGTGTAAAGAGAAGCACAAGAAAAAGAAGAAAAAGGAAAAACATAAAAAAAGGAAGAAAGAGAAGAAAAAGAAGAAAAAACGGAAGCATAAGTCTTCCAAGTCAAGCTCAAGTTCAGACTCGGAATGATGGGGGGTCCTCAAGCACTGGAAGAGCAGAGGAAGATGGGATGAGAGTCAGGTTATAGACCCAGAGGGGACAGTCATCACATTGTGGATGCTCATCCCTTCCCATGACCAGCTGACTCCCAGCAGGGTGGGTTGTCTTCCCAGGTGCTGCCTGGGGCTGGGCCAGTTCCAGGCAGGAGAGTGTCTTGGGTGTCTTTCCTGTTGGTCCCTGGAGTTGGTGCCTGTGGAATGCTTCAGGGCGTGGGACAAAGGAGCTGCCCCCAGCCTTGCCCGCCATCCTGGGCAGCTCAGTGCCCACAAGCCTCGGGCTGGACCCTTCTGCTGTTGAGGGTAATAAAAGTTAATGATTTATTTTTTAAAGTGTAGTCATCTATTCATGAACAGCACGGACATGTAGAATGAATTTCAGAGGTTTGACACTGGACTCTTCATTTCTACCCGTTACTTCCCCGAGGCTCCCATTCCTGCTTACAATTTGTAGTGCACTTTTCAGTATATCATGAACACAAAGGGCTTTTTATGTACAAAAGCTGTGAGTGGTATTCTTTTTAAAATTTAACAGTGTATGGATATAATCATCTTTCCATGCACATTCTGGTATCTGATGGTTTGAGGAGAAGGGTTCCTATAGCAACAGTGAAAAATCTGGTGTGACTTAATTACATTTAACTTGCTTGTCTATTACTTCCAAAGTCCCAAGACTTTCACAAGCATTGACTAGAAACAAACATAATAAGCCTAGTAGTAGACTGGATCAGCTATTCCATGCCTTTAACTTCCCACCTCATCCTGCTGCTGGGTCCGTCCACCTGAAATCTCCTAGTGGTCTCCACAGCCACAGAGGTTTTCACATACACACACACACACACACACACACACACACACACACACACACACACACACATTTCAGAGTGCCCTGGGTGGTTACAACAGCTCAGGCCATGAGTCTACCTCAGCAGTAGGTAGCCCATAACATTGTAGACCTTTGTCCTTCCACTCTGGGGTAGGGGGGCTAGTCTGGGTGGTCTTGGACTGTGGACTCACAGGGTTACCCAGCCTGGTGGTACTTGGGGCTAACAGGTAGCAAAGGACCTTGGGGCTCGTTCATGCAATGATTCTGCCCAAAGCTGGGCACCATCCCACAATGCCTGACTGTTAGCCAGTGAGCATGGATGAAGTATGTGGTCCCAGTAAGCCTTGTGCTATGGACTGCCCTTTCTAGGTAATTCCCTAGTTCCTTCTGGTTTGAGAACCTGAGCTTACATCACCCTCTAGTGTTGAAAGAATGACAACACATTAAGCAGACTCAATAGTCTATTATAGAATTTGGACAACATCCAGTCCTGAAATAGTACAAGTGACTCAGAGAACATAGCTTGGGTAGAATTTCTGGAAAGACATGCACCAATAAGGCCAGATGAAGAGTGGAATAAATACCTAATTCTTCAATGCTCAGATGATGTAATACATCAACACACATCAAGTACTTTCAAGAAACCATGACCTTAACTAAAAGTCAAAATAACAGGAATAAAGCCGGAAAATAACAGGACAGTAATTAGTATGGCGAATTAAAAGCAGCTGTTCTAAGGAAAAAACTTCAAGAAAATTCAGAGAAATGATTCAGTACTCATAAGTCAGGGCTGGGAATGTGGCTCTCTGGTAGAAGGCTGCAGAAGTTATGCCAGTGGAAAGGAATAGAGGACCTAGAAATAAACACATGCATCTGCACCCAACTTATTTTTGACAACTTGCTTAGAAAACACATTGGCAGGCTGAGAATGTGGCTTAGTGGCAGAGTGCATGAAGCTCTGGGTTCAATTCCTCAGTACCTCATAAACAAAAAGCCAGAAGTGGCATTGTGCCTTAAGTGGTAGAGTGCTAGCCTTGAGCAAAATAAGCCCAGGGACAGTGCCCAGGCCTTGAAGTCAAGCCCCAGGACTGGCAAAAGGAAAAAAAAAAAAACACATTGGCTAAAAGTCTTCAACAAAAGGTGCAGGAAAAATTGGATTTACACATATAGAAGAATGAAACTAGATTCCTATTCCACTAATAATAAAAACCAACACAAAATGGGTTAGACTTAAATGTAAGTCTCTAAAGACTTAATTGTAAAAAATATTTTCATTAGACTTTTATTGGTATTAGTGCAAAAGGGGGGGGTTCATTGTGACATTTCCATATGTGCATACAATGTACCTCATCAAATTCCCCCTGTAACTCTCCCCTTACCTATTAAAACAATTTCATTGTTCTATTTTACTTTCCTGTCATAAAGAAATGCAGCTGAGTGCTGGTGGCTCACACCTGAAATTCTAGCATTTCAGAAGGCTGAGATCTGAGAATCATGCCAGCCTGGGCCTCTTGAATAGCTAGTTACAGGCATGAGTCACCAGTGCCCAGCTCTATGTATAATTTAAAAGTTTCCTATACATACATATAGATGTATATTCTCCCTTCCTACTTTCCTCCTTCTTTTCTCTCCTGCCTTTCATCTTTCCCTGCTGAAGGAAACAAAACGGGGAATGAATATGCAATGGTGACATATTTACAGCCAAACATCCTATGCCTATGCTTAGAGAGCTGCAGATTGTCTAACAGGTGCCCATTTCAGTCAGAGATACGTGACTAGGATTAACCTTCAATGCATGACTTACTACAGGCTACCGGGGTGTAGCTGATTTACAGCTACTCACCCTATCTGCTTCTGCCTCAAGCTTCCAGCTGAGAGTTCCTTCTATTTAGGACTGTTCCTGACAAATGTGGGAGCAAGGCAGAGCTAGAGCTTGGAAACAATCTTTGCAGCTACAGGTGGCCAGATTGGACTCTGGGAAGTGAGATGTCTGGGGAAGTTTGCCAAATCACTGCTGAGGTAGGGTCCTGAAAAAGCTTTTGCTGTCCTGAAAAAAATAACTTTCCCAATCCCCTGCCTTGAAGAAGGGCTTTACAAAGCCTAAAATTCCTGTGGACAGCTTGCAACCCTGAGGAAAATGTCCAGAGAATTAATAAAATGTTGGCTCTTTAGCTTTTGAGTCAACAAAGGTTTTGCCTACTTGTAGATGTTTTGTGACCGTATATTTACTAGATTGTAATGAAATCTTTCTTTTTTGTCGGTCGTGGGGCTTGAACTCTGGGCCTGAACGCTGTCCCTCAGCTCTTCAGCTCAAGGCTAGTGCTCTACCACTTGAGCTACAACGCCACTTCCAGTTTTCTGGTGGTTTATTGGAGATAAGAGTTTCACAGATTTTCCTGCCTGGGCTGGCTTTGAACCGAGATCCTCAGATCTCAGCCTCCTTCATAGTTAGGATTACAGGTGTGAGCCACCGGTGCCTGGCTAAATCTTTCTAATTTTACTTGCAATCAGATACATTCCTGACTGCATAGCAATTTAAAGGACTAAAAAGTCTGACCTTTCACCTTCACATATACAGAGCCTTGACTCCTGAGGTTCTATTTAGTTCGAACCTCTGGCCCCAAAGAAAACAGCCAGAGGAATGTGGAGAGGTAGGAAAGGATTTTAACCAATATAGCTGTGTTGTGTAGTCAAATGATATTAAGTATTCATCTTTGGGGTACAGAAATAAGCTTTAGGTTTAAACAGGAAGAATTGGAACAAGGGCAAGAGGTATGCATAGCTAGACAGTTCCAGGCAGTGTGGTCTGGTTGATCATTCTAACAGTTCTGATTCTGTGAAGATTTGAAGAGGTTTTACTGTTCAAGGAGACAATTCAGTTCCCAGGAGAAGATGGCTTATTTGGAGGATAACCTCATTGTGGGTGATCTGTTCAATTATTTCTAGAATCCAATGTGACTGCAGATTGGAATCACAGGCACTTTTTTGGGCAGGGGGTGGGGATGGGGATCTCTGATAGGACATTATAAAAGATGTCAGTAACACCAGCAGCCAGTGGCTCATAGCTCGTTACTAAGGAGGCTGAGATCTGAGGATCGTGGTTCAAAGCCAACCTGGGCAGGAAAATCTGTGCGCTCCATCTCCACTCACTAAAAGGCCTAAAGTGGAGCTGTGGCTCAAGTAGTAGAGTGTTGGCCTTGAGTAAAAGAGCTTAGGGACAGCATGTAGACCTTGAGTTCAACCCCCTCAACCCTCAATATGACACTATATGTCAGCAATACCCATTGTACCTATCTTTGTGCCTTCATCCGGCACATCTTGAGTAATTAACATTCCTACATGCAGAATTATGCAAGTGTCTGACCTAAAGTAAAGGAGAAACCAAGTAAAGGCAGAGATGCCTGTTCAGCTTTTATCTTGGTTTTAGTTACTTTGCAGGCCTCAAAGTAAGGAGTTGGTGCTTTTTAGCAAAAGTAGTTTCTAAGTATCTTTTTACTCACAATTTGTTATTCCTCTTATAGCTGATATCAGTCTTGTCCTTACAAGTAAAAAACTCATCCTTGACGAATTTCCTTGACACTTTTGATAACCAAGACTTGTTCATCATGGCCAGTTTTCAAAGCTGAAACAGGAATTTGTAGACCCCAGGCCCAAATGCAAATGCCAGGAGTTCTGTATGCCAGGTCTGGCCGATTGCCTCTAAGTGGCAAATAGACAGGCCGTGAAGGGCAGAGAAAAATTTTCTATATGGAAGCCATGGGAAGATAGCATTTCAGTATGTCTTCAGACCTACAGACATTTGTCTTAGTGTTTATAACAGGCATAAGGGAAAGAGATGGGCATAATGGTCCTAGATGAGGTATATCTGGTTTATCATTATGTCATTTTGGGAAGGGTTTACAAGTTGTCATTCCTGTCATCACTGGTCAGGCTGTTGTCTGGAGTGTGGTCTGTCTTGTGGAAGCTCTGAAGTTCCCATTACTATGATGGTGATAAGTTCCGTTCTTTTCAGAGTCCAGCATGACAGCATACTGACCGCAGGGAAAATGGCTACAGGAAGAGACGTGTACAAGATGGAGAGAGCTGAAAAGCATTTCTCTTGTAATTCAGGGGCTCCGCAGAAAGCAGCTCTCAATCACCATTAGTTTAGACTTTCTCTCCAAGTCCTGTCCAGACTATTTGAGCAGCTTCCTACCTGATAACCACATTCCCAGCCCAGTATCTTCAGTGCTTTACAATCACAGGTGTTTCTTGTCCCTGCAGCTTTCCAGGCATGGCAGTGCTCAGGTTCATAGACTTTTCCCTAAGCCCTGGATTTTAAACTCTGGCTCTGCGCATTCCAAGCACCACTGAGCCACACACCCCTCCAACCCATCCATGATTAACTCTTTTGTCAGGCTTCTTTATTGTTTATCAAAATATCAAACATTTGGCCAGACTAACCACTGTGATTGGATACTAGAACTCAAAGTTCCTTTTTTTTTTTTTGTCAGTAGGGCTTGAACTCTGTGCCTGGGCGCTGTCCCTCAGCTCTTCAGCTCAACGCGAGCGCTCCACCACTTGAGCTACAGCGCCACTTCTGTTTTTCTAGTGGTTTGTGGGAGATAAGAGTCTCATGGACGGGCTGGGAAGTTGGCTCAGTGGTAGAAGCGCTTACCTTGCATGCCTGAGGCCCTGGGTTCGATTCCTCAGCACCACATAAGCAAAAGGAAAAAAGCCGGAAGTGGTGCTGTGGCCCAAGTGGTGGAGCGCTTAGCCTTGAGCTGAAGAGCTGAGGGACAGTGCCCAGGCCCAGAGTTCAGGCCCCACAACCGGACCCCCCCCCCAAAAAAAAAGAGTCTCATGGACTTTCCTGCCTGGGCTGGCTTTGAACCGTGATCCTCAGATCTCAGCCTCCTGAGTAGCTAGGATAACAGGCGTGAGCCACCGGCGCCAGGCAGAGTCTAGTTCCTCATCGGTGCCATTTATTATCATCAGTAGTCCCAGATGAGGCGCAGAGGTACAGGTGCAGTCACCTGTCCAGGTGCGGTCAGCACCTCCTGGCGAAGCACACCGGTGCAGGTGCGGTCAACCTGTCTAGGCGAGGCACACGGGTAGCAGCAAAAAACAAGTGCGCTCCGCTGGCGGAGGCTCCTCGGGCCCCGGATGGAGCCAAGGCCGAGGACACAAGGGCCATTCCGAAACCGATTCCTTCTCGGCCCCAGCATGGCCTACTGGGACCCCGCTTGCCAGTACCGGTATTTCCCAGGGAAATGCAAAGAGGGAGTCGGCCGCCTGGACTTTCCAGCGCCTAAGTCCGGCACGTGCTCGCGCTCCGCATCGGGAGCGCGCCCTCCCGCGCAAGCGCACACGGCTGAGGTGCCCCCCGCACCGTCCCGGGAAGACCCTGGACTCACGCCCGCCTTCACCTCGCGCCGCCCCCGCCTAGCCTGCTCTTTCCGTTTTCCCTTTCGCGCCTGCGCGGCTCCAATTGTTTTGGCTTTCCGGTGGAATCTAGCAAAGGAAGAGGGTGGGGTGCGGGACGTCTGCAGAACCCGGGAAACTACAGAGGTGCGGCCAGTGTTCCCAAGAGCGCGGCTGCTGGAAAAGAAGCAGTTGAGAGGTGAGCCAGCGAATCTCCGGGGCCTGCTCAAAGCGCGCTTCCGGGCCGCGGGCGGGGAACGTTGGGGCGGAACTAGGGCGCGTGGGGGCGGGACCAGAGCTGGGGGCGGGGCTAAGGCGCGTATGGGGGCGGAGCCAGGATGCGCGGGGCTGGGCTTGGGCGTCTGGCGCTCCCGGCTGACGAGGCGGCGCTGACGAGGTGGCGCGGGCGGTGGACGGCGCGCGCGGTTCCCGGGGCGGGACCTGGCGGCGGTCGGGCTCGGAGGGGCGCGCAGCGGCTCCGCTGAGGACGAGCTTTCCCGCCGGGCCGGCCGTCCGAGCGAAGGCGCAGAGGAACCGGAAGGGAGGCGGCGGGACCACTCTTCCGAGCGGGAGGGGAAGGCGAGACCCCGGCGCTGGCCTTCGCGGGAGGGCCACGCCCCCGCCGCCGCGGCCCGGTGTGTGTGGGCGCCGCCGGCCGGTCGGGACCCGGGCCGAGGACGGGTGAGCGAGCGTCGCGAGGCGGGCGGGGACGCTCTGCGGAGGGGCCGGCGGCGGAGGCCGGGCGGGGGTGCTCGGGCCTTTGTGGCGGGGAGGGTGGCGGCCGCGGCATCTTTCAAACGCGGGCGCTTCCGCCGCGGCGGGCGGGGCGGGGAGGGTGAGAGGCGGGCGGGGCGCGAAAGAGTGGCGGGCGGGGCGCGGCGTCGCCCCGGGCGGCTGCGGGACGGAGTGGGCGGGCGGCCGCTCGCGGGGGCGTTTCCGGTCTGGGCCGGGGCCTCGGGGCGTCCGCGCTGATTCCGCGTTTTCCGAGTCCTGAGACCGCGCCGAGCGCGCGCCGCCGGGGCCCAGCGTCTTCCCGGCGTTCAGGGCCGGCGAGCAGAGGCGGCTCGGGCGGGCCCAGCGGCGTGCGGAGCGGCAGCCCCAGGCCGCACCGCATGGATGCGTAGGGCTGCCAGTCGAAGGCCGCGCTAGGCGGATGCTTGGCTGCAGGCGGGTTTGTATGCGTCTGTTTCTGCAGCGAATGGTCTCGTAAAGTTGATTCCACCGACCTGCTGACTTCTCGAGTGGGCGCTTCTATGATGGTTCCTGCCAGTGCAGATAAAGAGAATTGCGAGTGTCCATTCAGCCTAGAAAAGGTGTGCTTTATGCTCCGTCCACGGGCGTCTCCGGGCAGGACGGGGGAAGAGCGGGAGAGGGGGGAAGCACCACTGGTCACAAGTTGGAAGTCGGGCCCTCTGCTTTCCCGTGGAGAAGCAGCCGGTCCGCAGCACACCCATCGAAATCACCGCCTGTTCTGTGCCACTAGATCACAGGTTTACTTTTCCTTCTGACTCGGCCCGAATCTGAGTGGTCGGGACTTTAGGCCTTTTTGGTTGTAGTTATCTATCGTTGAATAAAGAACTTTTTTTCCCCTGACCTAAGATAAATGGGAAAGTCAAGTTCGTTTTCCAGTTCCCTGGATGTGGGATTGCGCTCTGCTCTCTTTCATCTGCCTGCTAGAGTTCGCTTGGGTCTTTTTTTTTTGATGTAGTACTTTTTGAGGCCCATTTAGATTGGAGCCTGAAGCCCTTGCGAGGTTGCCAGTAGTAAGTGCTGGAGAGTTAGCACTGTGTAAAGCAAGCTGAGTAGTCCAGTATGCTGCAGGCTTTTAGAAGTGCTTCGACGTTCCAGGCTTTATAGGAAGCATTGCTAGGAAATCAGTCAACATAAGAAGATAGTGGGGAAGATAAGTGTTGGATTTCTTAAATGTGCATCCCATATGCTTTTTTTTCCTTCGTTGATAGAATGGATTTTTTTCATATGTGAACATTGACTAACTGCATGTGTTTAAGGCACGTGGTAAATTCCCAGAAGCTGGAATTTTTTTTCTTGTAGGAGATTGTGTCTTCATGTGGTCCAGCAGAGGCCTCCTGGTAACAGGCGTGTGCCACCATATTCTTATAAGCGCAGGCACTGAAACCAAAAGATAAGGTTGGTTTTGCATAGACATCTTAACAGCAGCATTGTAGGATTTGAGTATATTGAGTGATATTTAAATATTCAAATGAGAATGGGTAGGTTGCTTTCAAGTAGTTTTTTAGGTATATGAAAAGTGTTTCTAGTTCTGTCAGAAGTTTGCAGTGTTAAAGATCCTTTTTTTTTCTTGTGAGAAAAATGAATTGCAGCAGGAAATTAGGAGGAAGTCCAGCCGTAAAACAAGAGCGGCTGGTTTCCTTTTCTTTTCTTTTTTTTTTTTGGGTCCAATCTTGGGGCCTGAACTCTGGGCCTGGGCGCTGTCCCTCAGCTCTTCAGCTCAAGGCTAGCACTCTACCACTTGAGCCATAGTGCCACTTCCAGCTTTTTTTTGCTTATGTGGTGCTGGGGAATCGAACCCAGGGCCTCAGGCATGCAAGGCAAGCGCTCTACCACTGAGCCACCTTCCCAGCCCCGTGGTTTCCTTTTCTTAAGGCACATACCTTGACAAATAGTGACCTGTAGTAGCATCCACAATAAACAGGGGCTTCTAAGAGTTTAATTCTCTTTCAAATGTAAAGTTTATCTTTTTTTTTTTTGTACATGATAAGCAAGCACTCTCACTTGAGCTGCATCTCCAAATATTTATTTATTTATTTTATTTATTATTGGTAGTAGTGGGGTTTGAAATGAGGACTAATTGACCTCACCGATGGCTAGGTGATCTACCACTTGATCTTCTTTTGGCTATTTTGGAACTAGAGTGGAACAGACTGTTTGACCTATCAATGCTGGCTTTGAACTGCAGTCCTCCACATCTCAGCCTCCTAAGTAGCTTGAGAATGGATCTCACTATGTACCCGTGTTGGCCTGAACTTGCCCTCACCATCACTGGTGCTCTCCCTCTGGATTGCTGACATTATAGGCATGGGTGTCGTCTGCTATGTATTTAAAAAAATAAAACCACCTTAAGTAAATCATAACCTTACATTCTTCATAACCTCATCCATAAGTGTCTGGGAAGCTAAGTAATGTGACCATGCGATGTTGTGATGGGAGAAATGATTGACTTGAGGAAATGAAATTGATAATTGAAAAGGTTAAAATCAATTATGTATTACCATACCATTCCCAGCTTTCCTAGGAAGTTACTGAAAAGATGAGAAGAATAAAGAAAAGCACTTTCCAAAACAGAAGGTATACAGTCATCCCTCGCTGTATCACAGTTCACTTACTGCGGCTTCACTATACCCTGGGTTTTTAGAGAACATATTGATCCCTCACCTATCTCGGGAGCTGGGATGGTCCAGAGACCCCTTGGACGTGTGAAAATCTGTGAAGTACTGATAAGTGAACTGCAGCATAGAGAGGGACAACTATTGGATCTTTTTGCTCCAGGCTAGGGCTCTACCACTTTGAGCCACAGTTCCACTTGTGGTTTTGGGGTGGTTAAGAGTCACGGATTTTCTTGCTTGGGTTGGCTTCAAACTGCCACCCCCAGATCTCAGCCTCCTAAGTAGCCAGGATTACAGGCATGAGCCACCAGCACCTACCTCCTTTCGGTTTTTTAAAAGTGAGACAGCTTATTAGTCATACTGTGCAGAAACTAATACTTGAGGCCTGAGTTTGTTTAGCGTGAGCTGATTTGGCCAGTAGATCTCTTCTTCTAAATTTGGGAAAGAAGTAACACGGGATAGACCTAAGCCTTCAATTAGAGTAGGGGAAATGATGTTGAAATCAATATATTGAGCTTGATAAATTCTAGTAAAGGTAAGGTGCTAAGGTGCTTGTTTCTTAGTTGCTACTTGTCATAACTTGAGAAAATTGTTTGTATAATAATATTTGACTGTCTAGAGGCCTAAATAGTCTTTTCTAAATATTCCCAACTGTCAGTGTTTTATGGTAACTTGTGGCATTCATAGTTTGCTTAATTTTCATCACTCTTCTTTGGGCTAGTTTGTTTCATGATTTGTAACATCAAAATGGTCCCTAAAAACTTTGGATTCTTCATATCTAAGTATGATTTAGCCAAGATAAGAATAAAAGACTGGATTTGGAGTACTGAAATCTTGGGATCTCTAGAATTATTTTAGGTATGTACATTCAGAAGTTGGAAAAGTATTAGGAAAACTTCACCAGTGAGCAGACTAATAAAAATATTTATGTAATAGTGCTGTTCCAAGTGTGAGAGGATTAAAGAGTTTGTGTTCATTGCTGTTTACAGATGAGCAAACTAAGCAGAGTAATAATGACTTTAGGTCTGTAGCTGGACTTCAAGTAGTTTGCAATCATTCTCTTGATCTGTTCCTGATCTTTGACATCCAGAATGCCATGGATCCTTTTCCCACAAAACCTCTCAGTCTTCTGTATGGACATTTGTAACACTATGTGAAAGGGCTTCCTACAGGTAGAGTGAGTTTTCTGTTTGCGTTTTTTTTTTTTTAAGTATTTTTTTGTCTTTTTTTTCTTTTTTGGTACTGGGGATCGAACCCAGGACGTTGCACTTGCTAGGCAAGTGCTTTGCCACTGAGCTACATCCCAGCCCTAGAGTGAGTTTTCTGAAGGGAAACACCCTACCCTCTCTCTGTTTCATCCCTAGGGTGGATTTCTTTGGGCTTTTTGAGTTACCTGTTTTGTAGCTCAGGTTGGCTCATAACTAGCTACCCTCAAGCCTCAGTTTTCCACGTGCTGGAATTAAATACACATGCATGCCATGTGTATTTTCTGTTTAATTTTTCTTCTGTTTTTTTGTTGTTGTTCTGTTTAATTAAATGTATGGAGGGTACAATAAAATACTTCAGTAAAGCATGTGGAAAGATTTAAGCTAATATAATCAGTACCTTACATTTTCTTTTTTGGTGGTGGTAACATTTAAAGTCTAAGCAGATTTTATGCAACTACATGCTGTGCTCTGCCACAGGTTCTTAATAGAGTTCCCATGCTAACATACTATGTACTTTGTGTGCAAGCAGTGTTCACAGTTTTCCCCATCTTATTATTTTTCCTTCATTTTCCCCTCCACAATTCAGGTAGCCTTTACTGTTAAATTTCATTTTCATATTCAGTAGTATTTAATCCTTTTTATTTTCCTTCATCTTCTATAATTTTCCTGGCTAACATTGGGAAAGTTTGCTTCTCTATTTCTATACTTAGTAGAGCGGGGTCTACTTACAGACCTGTAGGAATGAAAGTGAGATTTCAGAATGTAAGTAGATACCGTTTCCTTCAACCTCCACCCTGCAAGACAAACCAAAAGACTAAGCACTCTGACACACTGCTCTGATTTTTTTTATTTTTTTTTGCCAGCCCTGGGGCTTGAACTCAGGGCCTAGGCCTGAAATTCTTTTGTTCAATGCTAGTGCTCTACCACTCCGAGCCACTCAGAAAGCACCTAGGCCTCAAGTTCAAGCCCCATGTCTGACAAAAAAAAAAAAAGAATCTATAAAACAAATTCATGTAATTTCTGTAGCAGATAAACTTTCAGGTGTATATAGGCTCTTACAAACTGAGGCCCTAAAATACCTCAAGGAAATCAGTCAGAAACATTGAAT